TGGGCACCCATCAGACACATTACCAGAGCTGGGAAGAGAGGAGGAACTTAGCCTGCCCAAGGCTGTGGCCTGTGGCCTCTGACTTCACCCCACATGCCTGGGCAGTGCGGGCAGGTCAGCTTGCTCTTGTGGGTCCAAGTACAGATTGCTTTCCCACGAGTAGCACTGTCTTATGGGACTCTCAGGCGCTCACCTCCGCCCCCTGGTGGCCAGCAGCCGTTCCTGTCTTCCTGGCCGGCTCTGGGCAGGAGCTAGACTTTCTGAGGGGTCCCATCCTTGGGCCAAGCTGTACCCCCCGCTTTGACAAGAGGCAAGGCAGGTGATAAAGAGTTTGGGCCAAGATGTTGAGAATGTAACAATATTCACAACAGAACATAATGTGCTTTTCTGCTTGTGCCTATTTTAAGGAATCGAGGCATACTTCAGCATCCTTCTCTTGAACTATTTTTTCCAATAATCGAAACATTGGTCCAGGCAAGCTTTTTTCTTGCTAAAATTTCCAATCTTATTTTGTTCTTTCAGGCGTATTAATTACAGTTTCTTTTCTCTCTAGCCTATTAGTAATGCTGATTTTATTGTTCCGGTTGAAATCGATGGAACTATACATCAGGTAAGAAATCAAAGCTGAATCGGAGTTTCAGTGAGCATTTTTTAATGGCTGCGTTCCCTTTGAACTTTATATTTAAACCCCCATTTCAGTCCTAATTTTATTACTGAATCAAAAGGAAGCAGACTTTGCATAACGAGTACAGTGGTTTTCTGCTTTTTTTTCCCTCCGATGAATTTGTTTTATACTGAGCTTATAAGGAGAGCTGTCGTCTATTTGTAAATATTAGATGTGGTTGCAGCTTCAAATGGCCCTTTGATTTGGTGCAGACTTTTAGAAGTTTCCATGCCCCCAGCTGGCCCAGCTTAATGGTCTAATTAACTTCCTTGAGTAATTGCTTGTGACCAGCCTCCTAGCAGAGAACAAGAAAATGCCACAGGTCACCCAGCTCTGGTGGATTCCTGGGACAAGGTGTCCATTGCAAATGCCAGCTGCTGCACCCTGATTTTGTCACCCTTGCATGATTTTCTCCAGTGAATCCTTAGCAAAAACCCAATCACAAAGGAGAAAGGGGGCGTTTGAGTCTGGGGATCAGCAGGCTGCTTTGGATACTGAGGCCATAGTCAGTGGACTTGTATCTTAGTGCTGACTTTTTTTTTTCTTTATTTGCATGAAGCTCCTCTAGAAATAGCCTGGTTTAGAAACAGATTGGAAACATTGTAGGAATGATAGCCTTGGAGGTTGAAGAGTGGGAGAGCTTTTGTCAGGCTTCCCACAGGAATGATCTGACCAGCTTCCTTGTTGGCCCCAAGTCTTAAAGGGAGGGCATCTGGCTGACATGTTCGCGTCGCAGGAAGGAAAAGCTCTCTTGGTACTTAAGCTACAACTGGATGTCTCTGCTTAATGATACTAGTCATCTCTTTTGGGCTCTTGAGTGCAGAGTGTCAGAGCTGGCGAGGCCTTGGGGATCGGCTGGTCCAGCCACCTCAATGTCCAGATGGGGAAACTGAGGCTCAGCCAGGGGAAGGGGGTTCAAGATCACTGGATGGAAAGAATGAAAACGAGAAGCCCTGTCCTGCCGCCTGTGCCAGGGCCCTTTTCGTGATGCACAGAATCCCTCCCCTGCCCTTGCTTTCTCTCCTGTTCTTCAGGGGACTCTGCCAGAAAGCCGTCCCTGGGAAAGGCAGTCCTGTCCCTAGCATCTCCACACTCCAAGCTTTTAAAAGCTGTCAGGGAACCAAAAAGGCAGGCACTGGGGCGTTTAACATTTGCAGAGCATCTGAATTAACTCAGCCTCTGAGAAGAAGTTAAGGCTTCTGCATTTATTATCTTGGCTCGAGTTACAAAGTGCTCAGAATGAGACAAAGGAGAGCTGCCCAGTGGCATAGCGAGAATTAGGAGAGAAATTAATCCTCCGCGCCATGTGACTGCGAGCGTGCCCCTGGGGGCCTGGCCTCCCGTGCTGGTCTGCTCTTGCAGGAGCCACCCCAGCCCACCGGCCTCCCTCCTGACTGGGCTATGATTCACCTGCAGTAGGTCCCCCAGGGCCCCAGGGCTGCGAGTCAGCACATCTCTCTCCTGAGGGAGTGAAGCCAAGAGCAGGAGGACCAAGGCCCTGGCGAAGGCCGTGGCCTCGTTCAAGTAATCCAGGATAGGCTGTGCAGGTCCCAATGGGCCTATTCTCGGTTACTTGCACGGGGACGCGGGCCTGGACGCCCGACCTTCCTCTCCGCCAGAGGCGCCAGCACCAGAGTCCCCAGATCAGCCCCCTGTGTGGCCGGGGCTGGCCCCTGCCCTTCGCGTGGAGCGGAGCTTGTTTTCCAAGCAATGCTCCCAGGAGACAGGACCGCAGGTCACGCCCATTCGCTCTGCTTCCATTCCCCGATTGTCAGCCATGTCTTGAGAGGTGCTGGCAACCAGGAGTTTCATGGGCAAAGTGGGGATCCTGGAGCTGCTGCAGCCACAGGCCCTGCCCTGGGCCCCGTTTCTTCCTCTCGGCTCCTCAGAGCCGTGTTGGCGTCTGCCCCAGGCTGTCCCGCTCCTCCGGCGCCTCCCTCTGTCCTGGGCCACAGACACAGGCCTGCCCCACTCTTCACTCTGCTGTGAGTTTCCCACCAAGTCCATGCTCTCCCGAGTGCTTGCTTCAGCCAGGTCAGCGCCGTGCAGGTTACTCGGTTCTGGGTAGAATTTCTCTGCCGGCAGCGCATCTTCCACGTGGTCCAAACCCCGTGTCTTCCCTGCTGGCAGCCCTCTGCTTCTCCTCATCTCCTGCAGGATGGTATCCCACCTGCCCCCTCTGCCATTCAAGGCCCTTGGCGTGCTCACCCCCGCCTGCCTCACACGCTTCGTCTTCCGCTGTCCCCCCTCCTATCCCCCATCACCTCTCTTCTGTCACCACCTCAGATGGGCTGGTCACACAGGGCTCTGGCCATTCTCTAACACCCCAGGTGTTTCCAGACCCGCCCATGCTCGTATTGTTTCTTCCACCTGGATGCTCACTTCTTCTCATCCTTATGGACCTGGTGAACTCCTATTCATCCTTCAAGGCCCAGGCCAAAAGTTGCCTTTTATGCTTCCCTTCTTTTAAGAGGGGAGTTAATTGTCCTTAATTTATCTTCTCCGATGACTTTCATTAGGCCCCTGGGTGGCACAAACGGTTTGCGCTCAGCTGCTAACCAAGAGGTTGATTGTTCGCCTCCACCTGGCTGTGCTGTTGAAGGAAGTCCTGGCAATCTACTTCCATAAGATTACAGCCATTGAAAACTCTATGAAAGTGTAAGTCTACTCTGACACACATGGGGTCTCCATGAGTCGGAACGGACTAAGTGGCAACAAATGGGCTTACCATTTTGATTATGTCATGTGTATTTCTTAGACATTTTTGCTTATGTCTGCTCTACACTGTGAGCTCTTCAAGGGCAAGGCCTGTGTTTGATTCATCTTTGTAACCGCTGCAGGCTGAGCACAGAGCTGGAGCTCAGTAAATATGAATTGAATTTTAACAAGTTTGATTTATTTTGGTGAAGTGGCTAATTTTGAATGGAATTTATTCAAGTTTTAATCAGTTCTTCCCCCCTCCCTCTTCCTCCGCCTTCTCTCACCAGCTTTGCTTTCTCTCCCACCTCCCGGCTTGTTTCCTCAGACTTGTTCAGGCTCCCTAGTCAGGAGCCCGAGTGTGGGCTGAAGCCCAGCTTCCTTACCCCACCCTGGCCTGGCCGGGCCCAGAGGCTGCGCAGAGCCCAGCCGCTCTGTGGAAGGCTGCTCTCTGCCCTGCTGCACTCTGGGCCCCCTCCCCATGGCTCGTTTCGGGGTTCGGGGGCCTGGGAGGAGGCTGGCTTCACCTCGCCTGAAACATCTGTTCCTGTGCGAAGCCCAAGCGCAGCAACCTTTGTGGTGCCAAGCAGGCAGCTTCCCGTGCCGATGCGGACAGCACTTCTGGCCGCTGTGCTGGGCCTGCGCTTCGTGAGGGACGTGTTCCCGTCAGGGTAGAAAGTGGCAGCAGGAACAGCTGCAGGCCCATGGGACGGTGGGCTAGGCCCAGAGCCCCCAAAGGACAGCCCCCAGACCATGGCTGTGTCTACACCAGGGCAGACCCGGAACAGAGGCCAAGACATACACGTGAAGTGAATGAGGTGTTTCCGACAAACGAAGCACAGACCTTCCTCACTGATTCTGAAAATCCCCAGGAGCTTCACTACCCTAGTCAGCTTCCCTTTCTCCCTTCAGAGGACCATCTGCCCTGAACTCAGACGTGGAGCCTAGTCTGAGGAGTGTGTCTGTTCTGAGGTTCCACGTCTGACCGCGCCCTCCACAGCCTGGGCCTCTGCAGGCCACCTGTGGATCCAGGTGCGGGAGGCAGGAACCTTTAGGAGTTCTTCCTCCCGTGGGCGTTCAGGCCGACCGGCTTGCTGTTTCCTGCTATTGCAGGTATACGTGCTGAAGCGGCCGCACGTGGACGAGTTCCTCCAGAGGATGGGGCAGCTTTTCGAGTGCGTGCTCTTCACCGCCAGCTTGGCCAAGGTGAGTCCTGCCCCCGGCCCTCCATCCCCTGCCCACTAGCTATCAAGCAGCCCTTTGTGAAGGTGGGGGAAGCTGTTTCTATGGCGACAGATTCCCACCCCAGATGGGAAGATGCAGGCCATGTGCACAGTGCCAGCCTGAAAGGTTTCTGGGTTACCATGGTGACGGGGAGCACTTAGAACAAATGCTCCATGGAGTTCCTGCACGCGGCCTCCTGAAGCTGGGTCACCCACAGACCAGGAAATCAGACATGTCCAGTGTAACCGAGAAGGGGTGGCTGCATGAGGCAGACCTGTGGGTGCACCTTACTCCTTGGCAGGCAACTGACTGCTGGCAGCTGAGGCCTGTGAGCCCTTGGATGAAGCTCATGCGGGTCTGAAGGAGAGGCGAGTGTGGAGGTTCACCGCCACGCGCGGCCGAATGAGGGTTCTGGCTCCGCTCTCATGAGCCGTGGGGTTTACTTCATGGCTCTAGCCTTGGTTTCTTCTTCTATACATTGGGGATAATCCTGTCTACAAATGGGAGAACGTGTGCAAAAACGGTGTGGGGGCAGCGTCTGACCTCTAACTTCACAATGAGGAAGGAGAGTCAAGATCAACAGCCCAAGGCTGAGCCCTGTGGGGTGGAGGCCCGTTAAGCCTCCCCTGTCCACCATCTTCAGCAATCTTGACCCCAGCTGTCCCTCCCACGGCACGGTCTACTTCTCTGCTAGGTTCGATAATTCATTGCAACGGCCACGCAGAACTCACAGACCTCACTCACGATTATGGGGTTTATTAGGGAAGTTACAGTTCGGGCTCAGGAACACTCAGGATACAGCTCTTCCATCAGGACAGCCTCTTCCCAGCGGTGCTCACAGGCACGCCTCTCCCTGGCCCTCAGTCTCTGCCCAGAGGCCCTCAGCTTTCTCTCTTCGTGGAATGGGAAGCCCACTGTGCTGTCTCCTCCTGCCAGGTCTCTGCTGCCGGGTCTCCTACCACCGCTTCTCACCGCCTTCAGGGTTACAGCTCACTCTCTCTCTGTTTCCTGGTCCCAGGAGCCTCCCAGTGCAGGGATCCTGGGTCCAAAGGATGCACTGGCTCCTGGCTGTTCTCCTTCCCACCTCTGGGGTGGTTCATTTCAAGCCCAGCGGAATGGCAAAACCGACCAATCCCTTTAGCCCATTACCGTCGTCAAGTCAATTCCAACTCATAGCGATCCTATAAGACCGAGTAGGACTGCCCTGTCGGGTTTCCAAAGAGCAGATGGTGGATTCAAACCGTCGACCTTTTTTTAGCAGCCAAGCTCTTAACCACTACACCACCAGGGCTCCACCAATCCCTTTCGTGGGCTGCAATTACCCTATCACACAGTCACAGCCAGTCACCTGGGTGGGAGTTACAAGACCGTAGTTAGAAAGGCCACAGAAAAGTGATCCATCAAGGCGTAGCATGTAAAGGGCTGGGCACAGTCCTGCCCGCCTCCAGCAATCCTACACTGAGCACCTCCTGCTATAGACTCTGTCCGGGGCACGGTTACGTGGGAGCTGCCCCTTAGGTGCATTATGTATCACTGTGGTTATTAATTGTGACGAAATAATTCAGACATGCTTTGGGTCCCATAGCTTGGTATGACTCCCCAGCTCAGCGTCCACCCTGGCTGTGTTTGACCGAAGAGAGTGATTTCTTTGCCGTGCCGACTGCTTAAGGGCACTGGCAGATTTACAGGCCCCCCCGGTATGGTTCCATCTCCCCCTTCACAAGGGCAGCTAGGCGCCTGTGCTCTGCGCAGGGCAGAAGGGAGCCTTGTCATGACCATCCCTCAGATCCCGACTCTGATGGGGCCAATGCCATCCTTTGTTGGTGGCGGCCACCAGTGTCCCCATAGGCACCTCAGGCCGCTGAGTGGTCTCAGAGATGAGCCTTGTGCACCAGGTTAACCAGCTCCCTGGGTGCCCCGGCACCTGCCCACACTCCCTCTCCTCTGTGTGTTGAGCAGTCTGATTCCGGGGTCCCAGGCATACTGCATTGCCAGCCAGGGCTTTCCTGGTTTGGTCCATCTGTCTGATGACTAAGATGAGGGAGAGCTCCACCTGCACAGCATTCTGCCAGCCTCATCTCCAGGCCTTAACGCATGAGCCCGTGGACAGGGAACCTGCACGTGTGCCTGCCGATAGGGAGCCCCCACGTGTGCCTGCCAACTGGGAGCCCACCCAGGTGCCCGCTGACAGGGAGCCTGCACGTGTGCCTGCCGAGGGAGCCCGCACATGTGCCCGCCCAGAGGGAAGCCCGCACGCGTGCCTGCTGACAGCCTGCACGTGTGCCCGCCCAGAGGGAAGCCCACACATGAGCCCGTGGAGGGGGAGCCCACACGTGTGCCCAGCAAGAGGGAGTCAGACGTGCCTGCTGACAGGGAGCCCACGTGTGCCCACCGCCAGGGAGCCCAAAACCTAGGCCCTATGCTAAAAAGAGAAAGTGGCCTCAGAGAAAACGTCATCTTTCCTCCTGGATAGCCTTGCAGATGAATGGTACCAAGACTAATTGTAGCTGTAGCATTGATGGCCCCTCTGACAGTGCTCAGGGACGCTCAAAGAGCCTAAAGTAATAACCGAAGAAATAACAAGCAGGAAGATTGCACCGGTGTCGGCGGACTGAGAGCTGGCTTTTCTTTAGCAGAATTGAAAATACCCTCCTTCCTTGGCGTCATCCCCAGCATTAGCTTAAACATCCTCCTTCGGTCTCTCTTCCTGGACCGCTCCCACCTGCCCCTCCATCTGTCTCCATCCGTCTCTCCATCCTTTCTCTCGCTGCTCCTCCAGCCTGGTGACTAAATCAGCGCCAAGGGCAGTCTTTCACCCTCTCTCCTCCCTGGCACACATGTTCTGCTGCCAGGTGGCCACTCCCTGTTCCTGGCTCTGGGCTCAGCTCCCAGGCTGGCAGCGTGGGTGCCGTGGACCTCCCTGCACCCTACCCAGGGGCCTGTGGGAGCCCCAAGCTGGCTGTCAGAGTCCTTCCTTCCTTCCTTCCTTCATCCTACAAATATTTACTCAGTACTTACTGTGCGTCAGGCACTGGACCAGGCCCTGGGGTTACAGCAGAGAACAAAAGAGACCAACTCCTTGCCCTCGTGAAGCTTACATTCTCCATGTCCATCTGAGGGCCTGTCCTGAAAGATGTGTGCCACCACCAGTGTTAATGATTCTAGGAAAAGAATCATCTTTTTCTATCAAGAATCAGCCCCACTTGTGTAACCTGGCCTCACCAGCTGAAAATCATAGTGTCCTGAGCCCTCCCCCAACGTGGTCAGTAGGAAAAACAGCTGATGGCACTGCCTCTCCCAGGATGTCCGTGGGGAGGGAGGACTTTCCACTGGAGTCAGGTGCTGTGGGTAGCCCAGTAGGCCTACATGCTCTGCACCCAACAGCTGCTGGGCATTCCACTGCCGGCCTTCCCAGCACCACAGCCTCGCTGCACTCCCCTCCCTGGCAGCCACTGGGCCCCTGGGAGCCCTGCCCTCCTCCTCCCTCGCTGCTGGTGGCCTCACAGCAGGCCTGCAACTGCCACTCTCTTGCCTTCAGGTCCAGCTGCTCAGTCTGGCCCACTCTATTGGGCATCGTCATTTATGGGGGATGTTCTCTTGGGAATCTATTTTTTTATCCAGTTCAGCCTGCTTTGAGGAAGACCCTTCCCCTTCTTCCTCTCGCCTAGCCCACGGGAGAGGGTCAAGCAGGATGAGCTGGGCTCAAGCCCCCTCCCATAAAACTCCTGGGCTCCACCCTGTTACAGCCTGGAGCTCGTCTGGCCCAGCTGCCCAGAGGATCTCTAAGGGGCAGTGTGGCCTCATGCCACACAAGCCAGATGCAAAGTAGGCTCGTTCCCTGATGAAACTAATCATTACTGAGCTCCTGCTATGGGCAAGGCACCCGTGAGGTGCTGGAGATATGGCAGTGAACACGACAGGCAAGGTCTGCACCCTGATGAATGAAGAGAAAATCACCCCAGGTGGTGATAAACTCCGTGAAGGCAATGATTGTGAGGTGATAGAGTACCCAGAAGGGGAGCTGGAGGGTGGACTCTCAGTAGGCGCTAAGGGCATCCGAGATCTCATCAGAGACGCAGAGAGCTGGGGGAGAATGTTCCACATGGAGAGGACACCCGTGCCAAGGCTCTGGCCGGGCTTGAGGTGAAGCCGAGAGGGAGGCAGAGCTCCTGCAGCTGAGACGGTGCGGATACACGGGAAGGCACTGGGGTTTTACTCCAAGTGCGGTGTGTGGACAGTGGAGGGTTTGAAGCAGGGGGGTGACACCATCTGACTTGTGTTTCCCCTGGCCACTGTGGCAGCTGTGAGGTGGATCGGCGGGAAAGGAGGGCCAGGAGGAGGGAGACTTCAGGAGGCTCCCGCAGCCTTCTGAGGTTAGCGGCCGGGAGCAGGGTGTGACAGTTCAGAGCAATGCATTTGGAGTTGAGATGTTCTTGGAGATGGAACAGACGAGAGTTTCTGATGGAGGGGACGTGAGAAGCGAGAGAAATGGAAGCATCTAGTGCTGTCTTACACGCACGTGAGGAAAACAACCAGGATCCTCAAACACAGTCAGTTTTTTAAATCCCCTTTTTAAAAAGGAATGTGGATCTCGCAGCAGTGGGTCAGGGGCTTCGGCCCCTTTCAGACGCCCAACCTTCACTGCGACGTCTCTTGTCCAGTATGCAGACCCTGTGGCTGACCTGCTGGACCGCTGGGGTGTGTTCAGGGCCCGCCTGTTCAGGGAATCATGCGTATTCCATCGCGGGAACTACGTAAAGGACCTCAGTCGCCTTGGGCGGGAGCTGAGCAAAGTGATCATCGTGGACAACTCGCCTGCCTCCTATATCTTCCATCCTGAGAACGCAGTGAGTAACCCTGTCGACAGACAACTCAGGGATCCTTCTAAGCTTTCTGACTGTCAGGCAAGCACCACTTTTTTTATTTTTTTTTTGCAAAATATATTTTATTTATTTTTCTGTTCTGTCAGTCATAACTTCTTAAAGTTGTTTAAACAGCAATTTTTTTTTTTTTTAATGATTGCTTAATTTCAGGCGAGCAGCACTTTTGTAGCATCTACAGAAGCTCTCCTGGCCTTTTTCTTAGTGAAATCCTTAGCAGTTCATGTCATGGACCAAGTTATTGAACCTCATGGGCTTCCGTTACCTCATCTGTCAGGTGGGGACATAGGGGTGCCTAACTCATAGGGTTCTTGGGGGATTCAGTGAGGCTGTGCGTGAAAGCGCTTGGGATGAGGGAAGTACTCAGTACTCCTCTGTCTTCTCATTAGTGTGTCTGGTATCTGTCTTAGTCATCTAGTGCCGCTGTAACCAAAATACCACAAGTGGATGGCTTTAAGAAACAGAAATTTATTATCTCACAGTGTAGGAGGCTAGAAGTCCAGATTCAGGGTGCCAGCTCCAGGGGAAGGCTTTCTGTCTGTCAGCTCTAGGGGAAGGTTGTTGTCTTCCCCGGTCTAGGAGCTTCTCAGCACAGGGACCCCGAATCCAAAAGACGCACTCTACTCCCTGCACTTCTTTCTTGATGGCAGGAGGTCCCCTCCTCCCTGATTGCTTCTCTCTTTTGTATCTCAAAACAGACTGACTCAAAATACAACCTAATCCTGTAGATTGAGTCCTGCCTCATTATTATCATAGAGGTTAGGATTTACAACACATAGGATAATTATATCAGATCACAAAATGGAGGACAACCACAGAATACTGGGACTCATGGCCTAGCCAAGTTGACACACATTTTTGGGGACACAGTTCAATCCATAACTGTGGATTCAATATTGTTATTGAAAAGGGTCTGTTGGTCACCCCATGGAGCTGGCTGCTGCCCTGGGCTTCGTGACCCCTGTGGACTCAGAAGGCCTGGGTGACCTCTACAACAGATTTTTTTTTTTAAAAAAAGAAGGAATAAAACACTTCAGTCAGGTTTTCAGATAGGGCCCTCGAGTTTTACAGCCTCATGATGATACAATGGGAGCATTTTCTACGTAAAACTCCCTGGAGCAGGGCAGCCTCTGGGCTCCTGCCCACTGGGTACAGCACAGCACTCAGAACAGAGAGGTGCCTTCCGGCCCCCTGCCAACATTTCCAGGGGAACAGGAGTCAGCCAGGCCTCTGGTGACTGCTGACCCTCAGCAGTCGCCACCACGCTGGGCCCTCGGCTGGTTTACCAGGAGAGAATGCGTCCTCCCAAACCCAGGCTTCTCAGACTCACAATATCCTACAGAAAGTCCTCTCCTTGAATCTGGAATTCTCTAGCTCCACTTATAACAAAAAAATGAAAATATTCCAAACTAGATTCAGTTAACCAAAAAAAACCAAACCTGTTCCCGTCGAGTCAATTCTGACTCATAGCGACCCTATAGGACAGAGTAGAACTGCCCCATAGGATTTCCAAGGAGTGGCTGATGTATTCAAACTGCCAACCTTTTGGTTAGCAGCCGAGCTGTTAACCACTGTGCCACCAGGGCTCCCTAACAGATAAGGGCTACCTTTTAATATAATCACATTTCCATTATCACACCAGACAAAATTAATAATTCCTTAATTTTATTTTATATCCAAACTGTTTATATTTCCCCTATCATCTCAAAATGTTTTCTTACATTTGGAATGTTTGACTCAGGACCCAAACAAGGTCCACACATTGCGTTGGTTAATATGTCTCTTAATTCTTTTGTCATCTTAACACTTCTTCCTCCCTGTCCCCTTTTTCCTCCATGCCATTTATTTCTTGAAGAAACCGATTATGTGTCTAGTAGAAATTTCCTAAATTCTGAATTTATCTACTTGTAGCCTCCTGGTGGTGATGAATATGTTCCTCTATCCCAGCTCTGTGGTATTTTTTTTTTTTTTTTTTGCAAGAGTACAGCATAAGTCATAAGCATTATAGTTTACCTGGCATCCATCAAGAGGTACATAAGGTCCGATTGTCCCCCTTTTAATGACGTGAAACTGATCATTGAGTCCAGGTGTTGTCAGCCTGATCTGCCCACTGCGAAGTTCCCCATCAGCCTCTCACCTGCTGACTTCAGCAGTCATTGATGATCACTGCCTGCAGCCACTGTTTCTTTAGGAATTGCAAAGTGGTGGTTTCTAAATTCTGTCATTCCTTCTGCATTTATTGGCTAGAATTCTTCTATTAAAAAAAAAAATAGAACTTGCCCTCGTCACCTGCTGATTACTGTAAAGTACAGTTTGAATGTTTGAATAAGGAAGGAACTGTAAAGGCTTAGTCCTTTTCCTTCAATTCTTGCATTTTCAAACTAATGAGTTAATGCTCTAGCAACCTCCAAAAGTAACCAGTGATTTTTTTTTTTTTTTAGTATCATTATGAACTCAGGGATTTTTGTGTATTTGATTGTTCCAATGCAGCGCATTTATTATGCTGTTTGATTCTCAAATTTTCCCATTGGCAGCGGGAACTCCTTCAAATAGCAATAGTCTTTGATAGTTTTCTTGTTTTCTGGCACAAGATGTTCTGGGCTTATCTTATACATTTTTTCCTTCAGCCCTGGAATTGGCCGTTTTTCTATGGAGCCCTGGTTCCCATTAGTGGAAATAGTATTTGGAAACCACAACCTAGGTGCTAGGAGTTCTCATTGCTTCTGTGATATCTTTTGCTTCTAGATCTTTTCACTGGAGAGAGCTAAACAATACATATTTTTAGAAAGAAAATTAGCTCATAAATTCATATTGTTTTTTCCAATTCAACTTAAGATAACAGTTTTTACTTCTGCGTTTTTGTATTTGTATCTCTCTGAAGCTGAAACTCTTGGTTCCTGAGAATATTAACATAATTACATATTTGGTTTATTGTAAACCCGTGGCCATCAAGTTGATTCCGACTCATAGCAACCCTATAGGACAGAGTAGAACTGCCCCATAGGGTTTCCAAGGAGCAGCTGGTGGATTCGAACTGCTGACGTTTTGGTGAGCAGCCGGGCTCTTAACGACTGCGCCACCAGGGCTCCTTGGTTTATTGTATAGTACATGTTTAATAGGTTCAAAATAGCAGTGCTAATATTATTATTAATAATAAGACAGTTAATTGCATTGTAGGGTTTTTTGCTTGTTTCCGTTGTTTTAGCTCTGTACGATTAGAACATCATATTTTCAAATCACTTGAAGTAATTCTGTGATCATGTCACCAACTTTATGTACACTGAGATTCATTTTCTTACGCTTTTCTCTTAATGATTTTATTTTTAATTCCGTAACACATTTGCATGGTTCCAACATCAAAATGATCGACAAAGATGAATTTAGAAAAGTCTGTCACCCGTTACTGCCCTCTCCCGAGTCCCCTCCCTTCCCCTCAGAGTAATCTTTTTTTTTTTAATTTTTTTTAATCATTTTAACACAACATTGGCCAATTCAAGATTTGTCACATGTACAGTTTAATGGCGCTCATTCTGTTAATCATGTCGGGCAGCCGTCGCCAGCATCCTGTGCTGAATTTCTCATCACCATAAACAGAAACTCAGCACCTCCCAGCACTGACCCCCTTCCGCCCCTGGGAACGGCTGGTAAACTTTTGTCTCTGCCTGTTGCCTGTCCTGGGTATTTCACACGAGTGAGGTCGCAGAATATTTGTCCTTTTGCAATGGAGGGAGTGGTCACATTTTATTAATCCTTACATAGCGCAATTAAACGGTGTAAGGAATTTTTATGTTCCTAAACTGTCCTTGGAGCCCTGGTGGCTCAGTGGTTAAGAGCTTGGCTGCTAACCAGAAGGTCAGCAGTTCAAATCCACCAGCCACTCCGTGGAAACCCTATGGGGCAGTTCTGCCCTGTCCTGTAGGGTCACTATGAGTCAGAATCAACTCAATGGCAACGGGTTTCTTTTTTTAAGCTGTCTTTAGATTTGTAAAAAAGGGCCAAAAATGTTACTTTAACGATTTTTTTTGGTTTCCCCAAATTTCTTTTTACATCTCTTCCTTGCACTCTGGCTACCACCCTCTGCCACCCGTCCCCACCCCTCTGCCTAAAACCAAGGAAAATGCCTCTCTCTGCCCCTGGCTTCAGAACGCCCTGAAGTTTTATACTTGTGCTCTTCACTGCTCACTGCTAAGCCTGGGGGGAAATTCTTCCCTTCTCTGAGCCATGAAGCCTGGCACAGTAGCCCCAGGCAGAGTTCCTCCTGAGCCCTGGGGCTCCCTGGTGTCTGTGGTTGGCCCACTAGCCTCTGAGTGCCCCGAGGGGTAAGGTGCAGGTTTGATACAATGGAAAGAGCTTTGAGAAACTGGCCAGTAGCCAGGGCAGACCTGACACATTCTGCACCCGGGCAAATGCGTTCAAACTGGATACACTTGACTTTGCCTTTCCTGAGCCATTTCCCAAACCTGGCGGCTTTGGGTTGACCTTGGTTGGGACAGGAGGAACAGACAAAACAGTGATGATGATGATGATGGTTTTTAGCTACCAGTCCTCCTTACCAAAGAAAATGTGAGGAGTGCAGAGCCCAGGCAGCCTAGGAACAGCCCTCAGCCCTGGATCCAGCTTCCCCATTCACTGTCTTCCAGGTACCTGTGCAGTCCTGGTTCGATGACATGACAGACACTGAGCTGCTGGACCTCATCCCCTTCTTTGAGGGCCTGAGCCGTGAGGACGACGTGTACAGCATGCTCCACAGACTCTGCAATAGGTAGCCCCGGCCTCCACGCCCCCCGCCTGTGCCCTCGGGGGACCTGCCTGGCCCAGCTCCTCGGAGCAGAAGGAGGGCACTCTGCTCCAGGCCACGAGCTGAACGTGGCCACGCCTACCTGTTGGTTTTTCTTTCATTTTTTTTTAAAGAACAGAAACAACTATTTTAAAAAGAACTCTTTTAATGAATTTCATAAAGGGACATGCATTTTACTGGATTTGCTTTTCTTACAACATACCAAAAAGAAAAAAAATGGAAAAAAAAAAAAAAAGCTTGATATCTATCGGACTTCCTCTGAACTATCATCCCTCGGAGCAGACACCTGTCCCCTTCTATCCCAGCTCGGAGCTGCTGACCCAACTCAGAGTCTCTTTCCTACAGAATGAAGTGCCTTTCTGAATGTTATTTTAAGCTGAGAGTTAATTTTTCTACATAACATATTTCCAGACATCTTTTAGTCTTTTATTATCTTAGATGCGCAAAGAAGATAAACATAACAATTTTCTAGAACCTGATACTGGGGAGGGGGGTTGCCGAGGGAGGGGAGGGAGCCGTAGAAGCCTGTCCCCCAGCAGGTGGGGCTTTGCTCTGATGACCTGTGGCATGCTGCAGGGTTGGGCTCCTGATGAGGAGTTTTTTCTGTGACTATGTCATTGTCTCCATTGATTTCCGAGCCAGTCTGGAATGTATCTGCAACCGTGTGTCTCAGTGCTCTAGGAAAGAATAGATATTTTATATTATTATTATTTCTGACAGTGACGAATTTGTTTTGAGGTCACCTTTTCCCCTGGAAAAGTGACGACATGTCACTTGTGCTTTCCCACTACTGCCGTGCTTGTGTGTGTTTTGTTTTTATGTTGTGGTCGTTACTGTTTTTTGGTAGAGCAGTCGCAAGAAATCCTAAAATCCTTCGATAGAAAATACAAAAACCTGTTCGTTGATTGTTAAACCTTTCCTTTCCAAAAGCCGGATACACATGGAGCTGTTTGGGAATTTTCTTTGCTGCTACCGAGCTGCCACCAAATGGAATTGACCAGCGGCTGTTACACTGTTCTTTGCCACTGTGCCTATGCTCAGAACATGCTCACTGCTCAGCTGCAAACGCGGACAGGGTCAGAACAGAGGTGTCCGTCCCATTGCAGACCGCACCAGCCGTGTCCATCCTTCCTGGCCCCGGCCAGTGGGAATTCAGAAAGGCAGAAAGACAAAGGGCCGAGAGTGCCACGCGGGCTGGCGTTCATTTTACAGGGCAGCCGACATCAGCCGACCGTTGTCTCTTGAGAAGCTGATGTGGCCCACGTCCATCTCTTGGTCTTCTCCTTTGAAGCACAGTCTGTTTCTAAGCCGAGGGTTGAGCAGGCCCGGCCAGGTGTGAGCCTCACCTCCCCGTGCTCCGGCCCCTTTGCAGCCTTTCGCAGTGAAGTGTTTAAGCAGTGCCATGATCCTTGTTGGACGACAAGACAGTCTATAACGTATTTTTTTTAATAATTCAAAAGAACCCTTTTGTGTAGGCACCATCGCCTTCATTCTCTGTGGGCTGGTCCTCGGCCGGCGATGGTGGGAGAGGCTGTCACCAACAAGACTGGGAATTTGGGGTCAAAGTAAAGTTTCCTTTTCGCTTTCGTTCACAGAATAACCAAGCCAGCTGCCAACCATGTCTTCCTGATAGAACTCTGATCTGTGGGCCGCTGGGCATTCAGAGCAGAAGTATTCAGGGGTCACCAGGTGCCCCGATGTTCTAGTGTTCCAAACCCAGTAATCCACACGCCGGTGAAAATGGAAACAGCCCCTGGCTGGGCACTTCCACAGATGACGGTTAGGTGGCAGATCTGCACACGCCATAAAACTATTAGGAAGGCCTGTCATTCAGTGAACCCGCTGCCTTACATGTCTTGAATGTCGCAGTCAAGTGTCAGTCATGTGTTGAAATCCACACAAAAACAGGCCCTGGTTGAGAGCCTAGACCCTCTCCCGTGCCCCCTTCTCCGTTGGCATCACAGGGTCTTAGTTGGGAATAGGGGGCAGAGAGGCCTGAAGTTCTAGAATATTTCAGGGGAATGCAACCTAGGAATTGTGCTCCGCTTCTGACAGGTGGAGTGAAGACACTTGGCGAGCTCGAGCCAGACCCTTCACCCAGCTGTCCTGAACCCGAGAGTACCATTGCCCTAACCCAGCGCAGAGCTGTTGGGGACAGAGTCTGGTTCCTGCCACCACAGACGGAATTTCTTGGGGGGGCCCAGCAAACCCTCCGAGGGTTCTCGAATCTGTGCACCTTATTTGACCACACCCCAAAATTCCATTCCTATTTTAACCCTTAGTTTTGCTTTATGTACATAATCAAAATATCTATATCTATCTATCTATATATATATATATATTTTTAATCATCTACATATAAAGAAGCAATAGAATCCTAACATATGGCCAAGAAATGAGATGAATGTTTGGGGTTTATGTTTTTTTTAAGGTAAATACGGGTATTGTTTTTAATTATTACCTTTTATTAAATTGTGGGCTTTAAAACTTAATGAACCCTGTTAGCTCTTTCTCTGTGCCATATATCCCCCATGTTACCGAAACAACCCCCAACTCTTTAGCCAAAAGGAAAGTCTAACCTACTGAGTTTCCACGGGCCTTTCTGTACCAGGTTAAAATACATCTCCTGGATGAGTATGTTTTACATTAAGATCTGGGACAGGAGAGCTTGGACTTCTGGAGCCTGGCGCACTGTGATGTGCTGGAAGTTCCGGGCGTCAGTGGGGGCGCCCAGCCCTCCAGAGGCCTGTCTCCCCTTGCTCTGGAATCCTACACGGCCGTCTGCGGTCTCACCCGTTCGCTGTCTGTAAACGGTGCACTTGGACACTAAAAGGGAAGACTACCTATTGCAGGTTGGTGGGAAGCCCCTCTGACGTGGTCCAGTTTTGATGAGCTCGTTTTGAGGACACGCAGATGCCCTGATGACACTGATTGGTCATGGTTGCAGCAGTTGAACATGTGTAAAAAAGAAGTCTGTAAGTCTGTCTAACCTGAGGACATTTTCCAGCCCTGTACGGAAGAGATGGCTTTCTAATAAAATCCAGAACCACACAGTCCTCTGGTCAGAGACTTGTGATGTTTGTGCCTCTGCTTGTAAAGGTGCTGTGACGGACAACTGGAATGCCAGGGTTCGTCAAGAGTAGAGCGGTCCGAAGTGCTTGCAGTTACCTGCGCAAAATGGGCTGGCTGCCTCTGTTCCTGTTTCACTATAACTTCGGTGGAGTCTGTCCTGTTCCATTCTCCCGGGAGCTTCTCTGCAGACAGACGCCCCCCAGGCAGTGGGGCTGCTGGTGTCTGGGTAGTCACGGGTTTCGGCTGGACATCTAAATGTGGTAAACGGTGCAGTGTTACATGGGAATCCCACGTGTGGAATGTGCACGTTTCCGGGGGCGAGTATTGTCACTCGAGGTTTGCGGTGATTTCCTTTCTGCCAAAAATAAACATGTGAAGCTGCGCTCGCCTGTGGATCGACTGCTTCTGGGCTGGGAGCACCTCTCCCCACCCATTCTCTCCCCTGCACAGCCTGGGGTCTCCTGGCACCCCAGCTGCTGGGAACAGGGCCCAGGAGCCTCAGGCCTTGACCCAAGAGGGAAGCTGGAAAACCAGTCTACCCAAGTTGTTGGCCACCTAAAAGGGCTCGGGACAGTGGGGCTCCCTCTCCACAGACAGCAGCAGCAGGTCCCCCCGTGCTGGGGACTCCTGGAAGGGCCCCGGGCAGGCCCCACTCTCTCAGGACTCGGATTCTTCATAAACCAAAAAACCCATTGCTGTCCAGCCAGTTCTGACCCATAGCAACCCTATAGACAGGGTAGAACTGCTCCATAGGGTTTGCAGGGAGCAGCTGGTGGATTCGAACTGCCAACCTTTTGGTTAGCAGCCAAGCTCTTAACCGCTGCGTCTGAGTCTCCATAATCATGCGTCATTCAGCTAACAAACACGTGTCAGTGATTCAGCAGATGGGTCTTATCCCCATTTTGTGGATGAGAAAACAGGCCAGCAAGACAAAGCTCTGTGATCTCTACCCTGTCTTATCACGGGGTCACGGGGTTCTGTCGGGCATATAGATTCATCCAAAACAATATAGGAGAGTGTGTGCATCAGCCCAGGAGACCTAATCTTTACGCAGAGACAAAACCCAAGCACCCCACAGCCAGCCTGTGCCATTCCCTAGGTACAGGCCCACTGACAGAGCAGCTGGCCACCAACGACTGGCAGCTCTGGCTTCCCCCCGGCCTGGGCTCCTGGGCTGTGTCTGTCTCCTCTTTACCCCCTTGCCCTCTCCTTCCCTCCTCTCAACCTCAATGGCATTGCCCCAGTGCCCACGACTACTTCACACCTTTGCGTACAAGCAAACAGACAAATGGTTGAAAACTGCAGCTGCCCCTGAAGCTTCAGTGTCCCAGTGAGTATCCACAGATGCTGAGCAGGTGGGAAGGAGGTGCATGTTATTAAAAGGTTTCTTGGCTGGGACCTGAGAGTACCAGGATTTCTCTCCCCATGTTTCTGTCATCTGTCTGTATTCCAGGAACTGGCAGGAAGCCAAGACGGGAAGGGAGCGACTGGGAACAGCCAGCCTGGGAATGACATGTTGGCTGGGTGAGGGGTGCACTGGGGGCCTGTGGCAGAGTCCCCTGAGTAACCTGGGGTGCTTACATGGCAAATCCACCCTGCCCCATGCCAGGGCTGGCTGTGAATTGACAGGCTCCTCAAGGCCTGGCATGGCCACCAGCCTGACCCCCAAGGAGACAGACTGGACCCTAAGTCCCTCAGGGTGGGGCATGCAGGCCCCGGAGTGTAGCACCCCAGACCTCCGTTGCAGGCCCATCAGCTGGTTCCCTGGTTCTCTGTTCTAGCTGCACATTAGAATCACCGGGGGACTCTCAAAATTCCAGATCCCTGGGTTCTGTCCCAAACCACGCACATCCAAATCCCTGAAGGAGGAGACCTGCAGTCTAACTGCCCCAGATA